AGCTCACTGCAGCTTCCAGTTCCCAGGCTCAAGCGATCCTCCCACCTTAGCCTCCCAACTACCTAGGACTACAGGTACAGGCCACTGCACCCAGCTAATTTTATTTTATTTTTAATTTTTTTTTGGAAAGACGAGGTCTCTTTATGTTTCCCAAGCTGGTCTTGAACTCCTGGCCCCAAGTGATCCTCCTGCCTTGGCTTCCCAAAGCATTGGTGTTACAGACATGAACCACCTCATCTGACCTCTTCTAAAGTATTATAAAATAAATACAGACATCAAAATGAAAACAAAAGAAAAAGAAAAAAACCCAAAAATCTCCAAAACAACAACAAAAAATGCAGACATCAGTCACATTCACCCCTAAATACTCTAGTGAGCATCTGGAAAAAAAAAAGAAAAGAAAAAGAAAAAAGAAAAAAAAAGAATCCACCTAAGCACAAAGCCATTGTCGTAACAGTGTATCTTTTTACATTTTTGGCTGAAGTGTTTTTTGTTTGTTTTTAGAGACGGAGTCTCCTTCTGTGCCAGGCTGGAGTGCAGTGGCACGATCTCGGCTCACTGCAACCCAATCTCCGCCTCCCGGGTTCAAGCGATTCTCCTGCCTCAGCCTCCTAAGTAACTAGAATCACAGGCGCACACCACCACGCCCGGCTAATTTTTGTATTTTTAGTAGAGACAGGGTTTCACCATTAAGTGTTTTAATGTAGGTGCAATGCTTGGAATAGCTGCTGGCCGAAATGGAGGGCTCAACGCATTCTTTTAACATTTACCAAGGACCTACTTTGTGCTGGGCACTGGTCCAGGAGCTGGGGACACAGCAGGAAGCAAAGCAAGGGTTAAGTGTGTTAAGTGTTTAAGAGATGCATATTTCAGGATGCCTCTCTAGATAAGGACATTATCCCTCCTGACAAAACTAACAAAAATCCTGTTAGCTAATAATCAGCCACATTCATATTTACCGTCAAAGCTTTTATCCTCATTTTACAGCAGTGGAGAGCGAATGCCCCGGGTCCCACATTAGGAAGAGAGAGAACTGGGATTTGCACCCAGGCAGTCTGGGGACACAGCTGTGACCACAGCTCCATGAGTCAGGGCCGAGCCAACCCCTTCACCACCAGCTGGCCGCGCCCCGGGAAGGGAAGTTTGGGGCGGAGGAGGTTCCTACGGGAGGAGGGGGAGGCGCCCACGCATCTGGGGCTGACTCGCTCTTTCACAAAACGTCTGGGAGGAGCCCCTGGGGCCACAAAACTGCCTCCTTCCTGAGGCCAGAAGGAGAGAAGAAGTGCAGGGACCCCGCGCACAGGAGCTGCCCTCGCGACATGGGTCACCCGCTGCTGCTGCCACTGCTGCTGCTGCTCCACACCTGCGTCCCAGGTAGGGGCTGGGTCCCGAACGCCTGCGCCTGGAACAGGGTCTGATTGAGGGGAGTGGGGGTTGTCAGAGGATGAGTTGAGGAATGGGGTTCAGTCCCCAGCACCCTCCCTAATCAAATTATAGTAATTTTCGTGCTTTGTGCAACGCTACGCGGCGCAGTACCTGACTCTCGGTAGCTAAGGAAATATTAGTGGAGCAAAGGC